ACGGATGGATGCTAAACTGCAAGAATAAATAGGTGAATGGGTGGGTGGATGGATGGATGCTAAACTGCAAGAATGAATAGGTGGGTGGACGGATGGATGCTAAACTGCGTGAATGAAAGGGTGAATGGGTGAGTGGGAGGATGGATGGTAAACTGCATGAATGAATGGTGCAAAAGACTGGCTTAGATGCACCACAAAGGCAGAGTGGCTTACAGCAAAAGACTCTTGTAGGAGGGAAGCAAGTACCCAGCTCAACTCGCACTTGTAAGCAGAAAGGGTCTACTCTATCCCTGATGTCTCTCAATGACCACCGTGCAGCAATGGACAACCAGGTGCCCATCACACTGAGCCACTGGGAATGGGAGTAGTATGTGCCAGGTAGCTGGCCCCCTGTGCTGAACATAAAGGGGGTGGCTCCCTCACTGGTCAGAGTGGCGTTCATGTGTCTCCACCTGATAATGATTCCTGGCTCTCTGTGCTCTAAAATGCTCATCCTAGCTGTGTGGAACACTCCTTACTTGGGACACCTGAGGTCCCATACCTGTCTCCATGACTTCCCTTTCTGACGTAGGTCAAGGAGGAGAGCCCTCCCGACAGTGAGATGCCTTTGAGAATGAGCCTGGCGAGTAATGTGAGTACAAAGCTCAGGTTAGTGTTTTAAAGAGGAAGGGAGAACTCGAGACGAGGCCGCGCTGCTGTGGGAGTCTATCCATTAATATGTTGTGCGAGTTCACCCCGGCCAAATATGGAAAGCCAAAGAGGGCTCGTTAGGAAATAATTCATCATGGGGGAAAAAATGTGCTCCTGTTACTTCTTTCCCAGGAAAACTAACCAACTTCTGTCAGAGAACATTGATTTCTATAAATCTGGAGAGGCCCCGGCTACCACCTCCTCCTCAGCAAAAGGAAACTTCTAACATCTGGTTCTTCATGCATGGGATGTGAAATATTGATCAGGTTTGGTCACGGCCGCCCCTTTAAAGTAAAAATGGGCAGAACACATTTACACACACACACACACACACACACACACACACACACACACACACGATTTACAACAGACAGATCCTCGGGGAATAGCACCTGTTATTATCAACACACCCACACATACCCTCTCACCACACTTCAGAATACATGCCATGTAACTGTTTTGAGAGTAAGAAAAAAAAAAAATGGCAAAGCTGATGGGGGAGACAGCTTCTAGGCATCCATCCCAAGGAACCAACTAAGTAGGCCAGGGAATACCTCACACCTCTTACTCAGTGAAGAACAAACCCCCCGGGTGGGACATCCTGGCAGGCCCCAGTCAGCTGCTGGGTCCTGAAGATGGCTCCCCAACTGGAGGAGAGGGCTCTGCTAGAACAGCCCCCTGGAATGACACACCAGGGGCGTCAGCTTCTTGGGGGCAGGGGTACAGTTGTAAAATCTCACCCGCAAATCAGACGGGAAGATGCTGGAGGGTCCCAAGTTTGCTTGCAAATTCCCCAACATTGAAAAAGGAGGTGAAGATGGGGACACTGGTATCCTGTGAGGTAAGGCTCAGAGCATCTGACTCCTAACCTGGAAGGGATCCAGCACTGAGAGAGATCACATGACCACCCCCAGGTCAGCAGGCACAGGACTAGAACCTGGGACAGGATTCCAAGCGCCTGCTGAGGGCTACTCGGCTTGATCTGAAAGACCTTTCTACCAGAGGCTCCCAAAGCCCAGGCATTCACCTTGAGCGCCTATAAAAAGAATCCTTTCGGAGGTAATGCATCCAGGGGTGAGGGCAGTTAATTTTTTTTAATCAGTGAGGTTGAGTTAGTTTAAGACTGAATGTCACATTTTCGGCATCATGCACGAAAGAAAGGTCAACCTAAATATATACATATTTTCTGTTTAATCTTGGCTTTTCATCCGCTAGTGCCGTCGTCCTCGGCACAGGCTAATTTAGCCCTATTTCACTGTAGGAGCCCCGCAGACAACGTAAGGTATGATTTATAAAGGGGGGGGGGGGGAAAGGAGGTAAAAATGGTCCCTAGATCAATGGCTTGGGTGGCTCTGGCCTATTTTCTGGTTTCTAGGCCAGGCTCCTCACGGCCCAGAACGAGCCACCAGAGTCGAGTGCTTCCTCTCTGCCTCCGAGCTCCGGGGTCTGGGCTGAGGTTCCTGATTCCTTCTCCTACATGAATACTACTTGGTTCCTAAATCTCAGTGTTAGCAACCTTGTGCCAGACACCAAAGCCTAGGGGAAAAATAACTACCGAAATCTGAAACTCTCTGTAGGTTGTCGGCCTGTGCTTAGAATCTTTCTGGGGGGAAAAAGAAAAAGAAAAAAGAGTACAAATATGGATGCTTGGGGAACCTTATGTTGGTACCCTAGCATAAAGTCATTGCATCTTTCCCTGTGAGGAAAATTCTGACCATCCTTCAGAAAATGCCAATGGTCCCAGACCCTGGAACTCAAAACCCTCACCAGGACCGCATTCTGGTAACTGCGGCCTTCTCAGCTTACTGAGATAGACACCTGCCTTGGTATTCCTCTCCAGCCATTACACATATGATTTGTCACACAAAAATAAAGAACTGTGATACTGTTCCACTCCTCGTCAATCTACTGTCAAGAAAGCTGACCCAGGATGCACCATAGCTGACCACCCATCTAGCAGGAGACCCTCACTGTGAGTCTGCCGGCTACCCTAAAGGTCAAGTCACACATACTACCAGGCCTCCATTTCCTCAGGGACCGAACCTCCTTATCCCACGCCTGGGAGGACTCAATAGTGTGTTGTACATAAAATGTTTATCAACTATAACTGATACATAGTTAGTTTTCATAATAATTAAGGCTACTATCACTTGCGATAATTTTTCAAATTAGTTAATCTTTGGGATTAAGAATAGAAACATGCCTATTTAACACCTCCCTCAGTACAACCAACTCCCACACCTTCCCAGATCCTAAAGGGGTAGCCAAGAGTCAACAGTAAAGAAATTGTAATAAACAGAATTTATGCTGGGAGAATCCTGAACATAAAAAGATCCCACGTTTACTGGAAGTGATTGACCCAGACCCCCTGCTGCTAGTGTACCAAGCCCATGCCCTTGCCACAAAACAATGTTCACCCATCCTTTTGTCCATTGGGATGCTGACATAATGAAAACTCAAGGGCCATGTTCTTAATCAAGTCTGTCAACACCCCCGGTAAGGACAGGGAGAAAGTGACTCAGCTAACGTGGCTGGGAGGCACTTCCCTCCTCCCCAAGTATACTCTGAGAAGTTTGCTTATTTGTATCTCCAACTCCATGAAAATCCACAAGGCAGAGGGCAGTGAGGGGGTGGGGTGGTCCAAACAGATGTTATCATTTCATCTGTAAAAAACGGAGATACTCACACGTGCTGTGCCCTCCGCAGAGGCCATTTACCAAACCGTGTGAGAAACGGTAAGTGACCGTCCTTTGGAAAATACGAAGGACTGTCTAAACTCTTTGGCACTGCCGTGATCATCCTACTGTGAGCCCAGATCCTGTCCCATCCCATCTGACAGGTGGGTGCCACACTGGTGTTCTAGCCCAGTGGCTCTCCAACTTGGCCTCCACTGGGAGCCCCGGGGGGCAGATGCCACTGTTGTACCTTGAATTACCAGGTTCCTTACAGAGACTTCTAATTCAGCAGGAATTTATAATCTTCCTGGGTGTGTGTATGTGTATGTGTGTGTGGGGGGGGGGGGCGCTGCTGGTACTGGGGCTATGGCTTGAACAGCAATCACCAGAGAAAAGAGACCCAGGTTAGAAAACATGGAGATGCCCCACAGTGGGGAGGAAAACGTCCAAGGCTTCAAATCTCTGTACTTGCCATTTTCCTAGGGAGTATTTTGGACTCTCGCAAAGTACATGTGATAAATCACCCAAAACCTGCACACAAGACTCCTTAGTGAAAAAGTCACTGGGAAGCGGCTGCCCGCTCCTGGCCCGCCTCGGATACTTCATAAAAGTCACAATTGGCTTTATTCATCTTCCTCTTGCCTTTCACACCTGTAGGTCTACAATGTGCTGGGGCCATGGAAGGGAGGGTGACTGGGGAGGGCTGAGTGGAAGGGGCCGCCTTCTTCCCTGTCCACTCTGCATCCTGCTAGGTGCACTTGCCCAGATGCTCTCTGGAACCGAGCCCACAGTAACTCTTAACCAAACAGGGGAAAAAAGGTCTGCAAGATTCCTCCCATGCTCTTGAACTTCCTGGTTGCTGCTACTGAGAGCATGAATTTGGTACCCAAACTCAGGGCCACTTCCCGAGCTCCCAGGACTGGTACACGGGATACAGAAGTTCTATAGGGCTAACTTCTTCATGAGAGCTGTGTGATATCTATCTATCTATCTATCTATCTATCTATCTATCTATCTATCTATCTATCATCTATCCATCCATCCATCCATCCATCCATCCATCCATCCATCCATCCATCCATCTATCTATCTATCTATCATCTATCTTCTCCCTTGAAAGGGAAAAATGGGAACAGGACAGAGAGAAACTGACTTAACAGATTTGGTAGGGATCCTCCTGTGCACTGTTTTGACAGCCCAACCTTTCTCCTCAAGGTCTACAGGTTTTACTGAAGGTCAAGGTCTACAGGTTTTACTGAAGGTCAAGGTCTACAGGTTTTGCAGAAGGGAAGAGGAAGGGGAACGAGAGAGCAACAAGGTAAAGAAAACTTGTTTGAAGGAAATAAATAGTCAAGTATCTGCCAGAAGACCAAGACATGGTCATCTGCAGGCTAGATGGCCAGGTGGCAAGGGGGACCGTTTCATGAACCATGACATGGCTGGTTTCTCTGCCCGGCTTTCAGCTCCCCACCCCCATAAATAACCCAGACAAACACCATGTACTCCGAGCCCCCCCCCCCTTAAGTCTCATTAAAAGCCGATATTGCTGGCCTCAAGATGGAGAGCTCAGCATGGATTTTACTGAACGTTAAATCAACCAGCGAGCGCAGCCAGCAAACTCTGTGGCACTTTAACTTTAAATAATGCAATAATTATTGAATTTCCTTTTTATAACTGAAGTGCTGGAATGTAAACAATGGGGCTGTAATTGCAGGAAGGGGGGATCAATAGAGGCAATCGTTTTCAGCCATGTTAATTGTAAATACAATTGCTCCAAGATGTCAGCCTTGTTCTTCTTGCTTCCAGAATCATCCTAACGGATGACAGAGTCCAACTTTCCCATTACAGCTGTTCGTTCCTTTAAGAGGTTCTCAATCAGGTCTGATCAATCTGTCAAGATAATGCATGGAGTAAGTAAGACTCTTCCAAACACAGGCTCCCAATCAATAGCCAGGACCAGCTTAATGAGGTGGGGCTAAGGCCCAGAGGGAGGTAACAGCCCCCAGCTTGTGCCTAGGTTGGCAGCCCAGCTTCCTAGCATGGTCCTGATAAACAGATCAGCCCTTAATGAGGACATTAGTTATGCATGCTTCAGCAAGCAGCAAGGCACCCGTCCCTTGGGACAGACGGACAGAAAGCAAAATAGATTAACAGAAAACAATATGGTGCCAAATTAGGTCTAACTGAAGACTTTTCCCTCCTTCTCCCGCTTCCCTTAATTGTCCAGCAGAGTGGAGGACATCGATTAATCACTCCACTGGGCATGGGCTCAAAGCCGCGAGTATCTCCCGGGCTAGGGGAATCTCTGGGAATCTTCCTGTGCTGTCCCTGAAGATTAGCACCCTCGCTTCCACAGCAGCATTTACAGGTCACAAGGGGCCTCTCGTGGAAAGATCTCAGCACCATCCAGTAGAAGCCCAAGGTAAGACTGAACCCTGAAGCATGAGAGTCACACAGAGAACCACCTGCCACTCCCTGAGGCTGAGACTCAGCTTTGGTCTTCAGAATGGTTGTTCCTCGTGGACGAAGAGGCAAGAAGTTGGGAGAGGTGAAAACCACTGCTCAGGGATCAGCATCAAACAAAGTTTGGGGACACTGGAGGAGTCTGAATTCTCACAAAGGAGGGTAACTCAGGGTCTGGAGAGGCACCTGCCCTTCCTTTATTCCTGCTCCAGTCCTTGAGAAGGAGCCATTAAAGGAAGGTCCCACCAGGAACCCAGCAATTTCTTTGCCCAGGGATGCTTAGCTCACGACAGATGTTATCCAGGAGCATCCACGGACTGTCAGCATCAACTGCCAGCGTGGACTCCTAGGAAACCTTGGACTTGGAGATTCTTAGGCTCTGTCCAGTTCAACAGGAATTCTAAAGATGGAACCTGGACACACGGGTCTCAGCAAGCCCTCCAGGTGACTCTTATGCAAGTGTGTCTGTGACTATTGTCTTAAATGGTAGGCCAGGTAAGGCAGGCTTCCAATATAGAGGACCTTCGGTGTGTTTGTGTGGTGGCCAACAGATTCTCCATTAGAAACAGTTCAGTGCCCAACATCTATCTGAAAGGGGATATGTGCATTGAGATTTGGCCCAGAGTAGAAACTATGTAGGCTAGCCCACGACCTAACTGCTACAGAATGCAAAATTGCTGGGAAAAATAAAACCAAAAGAATATGCGCTACCCTATAATAAAAGTTTCCACTTATTAAATGAAAATCATGAAACTGATCATACTACTGGACTCAAAATGTTAACGGGGTCATCTTCTGATTGAATAAAATATATGGGGTCTTTTGAAGGGAGCTTGGGGGCGGGGGAGTACACAGATGTAAAGAAAAGAAGTATTCCTCTGGAATGGCCGGACCTGTGCACTTTACAGAGGCCCAGTCTCCAGGCTCTCCTTTGGGACCTGCATTCTTCCAGAAGCAGCTTTTACGTTTTACTTAAGACACTGGGCAACCAGTGAGGCCTGCTCTCCTGCCACCCCGAACAGCGTCTCTTGAGCTGGGCCAAGTCCTGTCTTCCTCTCCTCTTTCCACCACACAGTTCCAGATCCATGGCTGGTCCTTCAGCCCTGGGGACTGATGATCTGAACGAACAAGGAAAATCCCCCCCCTCCCAGACTCTTGGTCTCTGGCGTGCTCATCAAGACCTATCTAATGGAGTCCGAAGCCGCTTCCTTCATGTCAGATTTCGGCCCTCCACAACACAGAAAGCAGTCCCTGCTGCACTGGCCAATCTGATCTTCCTGGTTTGGGTGCCTTTTCCTGGTTGGATGCCCTCCCAGGCACTTCCTTCACTTGATGAAATGCCACAGGAATCAAAAGGCAGGGCGACAACACGGTCTCGTGGAGGCCCTGCCCCATCACAGCTGGGCCATTTTTGTCTCTTTCCCTCTGGTCCCATGGCCCCGTCAGTACCCACCACACATCCTCCTCCTTGGAGCCTCACTGCGTCCTCCTTCTCTACACCCTCCTTCCCGAGCTAGAATGCTGGGGAGTGAAGAAAATAAACGCTTGCTGATATTGACGACTTGTTTGAATACTATTTTATGACAGGAGATAATGACTTTAAGTGGCTGTACTTGGTGACCCAAGTTTCTTAGTATGAGGATCACAAGAGAGTGTCCCCTCCTTTCCCTCCAAATAGACAGAATGTCCCAGCTAGAGGACATCTGAGTGGTCACAGATGTCCCATCCTTCCATTTCTTCCAGATATACCTAGTTGTGTTCTTTGGATTGCCTTGTTTTCTGAGGCGGGGGCTGGTCACCACGCTCTACTGTTAACGGGGAAGTAGAGGCAAGACTCGGCGACACGGCATGGGGAGGAACACAGCAGACGGCAGGAGAGCGCAACTCAGGCTGTGGGAGCCCTGGGCAGGTGTGGGCAGAGCCGACTGCACCTTTACAGGAAAAGGTCCTTCCTTTTCCTCCTCCCCGCACCCCCTCACCCCGAGTCTCTCCAACTGCCCTGAAGAATGGCTGGATGGTTTGCCTTCCTCAATATCCAAATTCCAGGGCCTGTGAGGTCTGTTGCGGGGAGGGAATACTCCCCACAGGGGCTCAGAAGTCCCACACCGCTGTGTGTATATTTCCCATCTCAGCTCTGTCCCGAGCCTTCTGCCTGGCTGGCCAGCCCAAACGGTCCCCTTCGGGGAGATGCCCACACAACTTGGACCTAAGCCCCTGACACAGGATTCTGCTCTCAGTGGAACGAGGCCAAAGACAGAGTTGCCAACAAGGCATTTTTAAACTTATTTTTAATATATTTATTTATTTATTTTATGTGTATGTGAGTGTATACCACATGTATGCCCATGGAGGCCAAAGGAGGGTATAGTGGAATTGGAGCTACGGGTGCCTGCGAGCCGCCTGACAGGGGTTCTGGGGACTGAACCCGCGGCCTCTGGAAGAGGAGCGAGTGCTGTTGCTTCACCCCTCAGCCGTTTCTCCAGCCCTAGGAAACTCCTACACAGGAAGGCTTTGCAGCAACCCGTCCAGCGCTAATCCAAACATCCTCTCCTCAGAGACATGCACTGGGTGTTCCAACTGGCCGAGAAACCAGGCTGGGCCAGGGAAAGGCCATGGGAACCTGCTGGGGCCGGGGCAGCCCGTCTACTCCCCCTTGGGCAGAGTCCACCAGCCCTGCTGAAATGTACCACGGGCAGTTTCCTTCGCTGAAGTGCAAACTGACTGGAGGAAAACAGCAGTCAAGTGTGCGGAGGGGAAAGGGAAGACAGGGACCGAAGGGAGACAGACAGCTGAGCTACCGGCAGCAGCAGGGCACCAGGGGGCTCCAGGGGGCTCCAGCACACCAGCCGCGGCAGACACCCCCACGGGAAAGGGACATGGGGACATTGGGACTCGAGCCTGGACCATGCCACCTGCCAATCAAGAACTGCCACCTTTCCGAAAGCTCTCGGGCTAGTGGCATTTGAAAGGCGCCAAGGGCCTTCGCAGTTATGATCACGGAAGGCCAGGGGACCCAACACCCAGTCTCACTCAGCTTTGGGTCACCGTGATACTCTGTTTGTTTTGGGATAGGGTCTCGATCAGCATCCCAGGCTGGTCTCAGAATTCACGATAATCCTCTTGCCTCAGCCTCCCAAGTACTGGTCACTGTGTTCTGTGACTGGTCATTCTTCCGGCTTTAACTCACTCACCCCCTCTTGCCTCTCGACATTCCTGTTTCCTATTACCTCACACTTTTGACCTCTGGTGAAAACAAGTGATTTTCATTATTCTTTCAGTAGATGGTGTGCGCTGGCGTGTGCCGTTACTCCTGTGAATTCGGCTACTTCCAGCACATCCTAACACTGCCTTCTATGCATCTCCTTTCTGTCTACAGAGGCCTTCCCTCCTGGAGTCTAAGTCTTGAAGGCTCCACCCACCGTTACTCACGGCCATTCAGGACCTTTGTGTCTGTAGGAAAGTCCCCGTGGAGACTGGAAGGCCTCTGCAGGCAGGAACCAGGCACCCTTCCACTCTGAACTGGACACACAGAGCCCAGATCGTCTAACAGTGAGAACAGGGGAGAGAGAGAGAACACAGGCCTCTGGCACCAAGTGCCACCTCCCACTGGAAACAGAGGAAGAGCGGCACCACCTACCAAGAGGCTGGAAGAAGTCAGCCTGTAGGTACTTCTTAAGAGCTAAAGCAAACTGAAATCCGAGGTCAGGTGGTGATGACCGGTTTGAACAGGAATCTGGAGGCTCAGAAAGCCTACCCCCACCATCTGACTTCACAGGGATCCCGAGCCTAGACGGCGATGAATTAATTACTTGATCACCCATTCACTTACCTTGATAATTCGATCATTGGGTTGCCAGGGAAGAACCCGTTAGGAGGACCAGCCTGCCTCTGGGTGTGAGTTCTGCAGGTGCCAGCTGCATTCGCCAGCGCCAATGTGACTCATGAGATGACACAAATGGCCGACGGGCTTTGTTAGTAAGTGACCTTCAGTGAGTCACCCTTCCACCCCATTTCAGCAGCGACGCCGGATGGCAGTACTTAGACCCCACCTCACGGCATCATCACGATGATGGAGCTCGGCTAGTGATGGCCAGGGAACACTTTGTCTTCAGAGAGAGATAGATTACTTAACGTTTAGAATAATACCCATGGTTTCGGGTTGAGAAAGCACTCCGGGATTAGTGGAACCGAAGGCTGCAGGGACCCACTAATGAGCAGAGTCCTCCTCACCGCAATGTTGAAAACTACTCAGTCTCTGGAATATAATGACTAGCAGTGCATCAGCATGGGGCCGAGGCAGGGTTAGTTACCATGAAACCAGGGTCACCGCATTCAACATCTAATAAGCAAATTCTCCAGATCACAGGAATAAGCCAGAGCCAGCCAAGCTGACAACAAATGCATTTTAAGGACGCTGTAAGTAGAGTAATGTCTAACTCCACAGTTTCCCCAGAATTCATTAAAACAAGCCTCTAAGCCAGTGGGTCCCGATCTTCCTAATGTTGCAACGCTTTAGTACAGTTCCTTGTGTTGTGGTGACTCCCCAACCCCAAAATTATTTTGTGGCTACTTCATAACTGTAATTTTGCTACTGTTATGAATCTAACATAAATATCTGATATCAGGATATCTGATGTGTGACCCCTTTGAAAGGGTCATTTGACCCCCTCCCCAGCGGTTGCAACCCACAGGTTGAGAGTCACTGCTCTAAGAAGACTCATTTCTATCTATCAGACCAGAGGTCAGATGACTTTGTAAATACCTGGAGGACAAACACCTTAAGGCTGAGGCTATTGCCCCTCTGTCACGGTCACCCAGTTCTGGCTCTGTAAAAAGCAGTGGTAGACTGTAATGAGATGATGGAGGGTGGCTGTGTACCAATAAAACTTTATGTATAAAAGACAAGTGACTAGCTGGCTTTCCCTCCTCTGTTGGAAATATACTGATCCTGATCTGAAACTGGAAGTTTTACCCAGTCACATGAAAACCCACAAGCCTGGTCTCAAAGAAGATAGAATGCCCCCAATCCACATGCCTCTGTCTCTGTCTCTCTGTCTCTGTCTCTCTGTCTCTCTGTCTCTCTGTCTCTCTGTCTCTCTGTCTCTCTCTCTCTCTCTCTCTCTCTCTCACACACACACACACACACACACACACAGGCTTGAAAACTTTTTGTAAAAATAGGCTGTTTGAAACTGAAGATCAACACGTAGTCAAGGATCATTTAACTCTGAATGACAAAATGAATTCAGAATAATTAAACATCACCCCTTGTTTCTGATGTAAGAACTTCCATGTAACTATGCTCTGGATCCTCAAGTTCTACATATCCTTCTATAATCAAGAGTCACACCTGTGAAAT